AGGAAATGTTTTCTGTTTAGAGCCTCGAAGTTTCCACAACAAGGTATTTCAGGATATTTCAACTTGAATCATTTCATAGCTCCTCTGGAATTCTCTGTAACATATTGGATTTATATTCTAGAATTTTGCATTTTAGAATGTCATCAGAGGGCAGGTCTTGTAGAGAGGTTTGAAATCGTCACTGTATTTATTTCATATCCTTCTCTAATGCAGCATCACATGGCATTGCATGCTTTCAGGAAACCTGTGTTTTACTTGTTAGAAACAACAAATGTTGACTTTTTAGTTTCAAATAAGGCTCATCTTGCAATGATTTCCTTCCAGACACAAAGTTGAGAATAGATGAATCAGCTTCAGAATACGTGACTCTTACAGGTTCTAAAGAAGACATTTGCGCGCAGAAGTAGCCGTTTATTACATGACACTAGTCACTTGACCGACCTAACACAGCTTCCTTTTGGCTGGCTCTAATTCACAACTTGATAGCAGCTGTCACAGTGAAAGCAGCAGGTTCATTATCTGATTTGTTTCTGCCATCCCTGCACTCCTAGACTCCATTAACAACACGGCTGTGTGATTTTTAAATTACTGAATTAGTCATACTTCCACTGAAAGAGTAGACGAAGAAAAAAATAAAATGGAATGACTTCTTGCTGCATTTCCTTAGATTTCTCTGCCTGCTGGTCTCCCTGCCTCCCTTCCAAGAGCTTATATTGATCATTGTCCTTAGGAAAAAGGTCCCTCGTGTGTTTTCTGCTCTATGTTGCTGCCCGAGCCAAACAAAGGCCACCCCAGACACTCGGTAAACATGAAGCAGTAGAGACGGGTTGTGCCTGCTGCTGGATGCCTTGACCCGACAGGCAGAGAGTGCTGATAAAGTTTGCTATTGTGCTCACTCTGCTCTGTTAGTACCCAGTGTCTCAATTAAAAGTAAAGTCACTTTTCAGGCTTTTGCCCCTCATTGGAGGATATCTATTGACAAGCAAACTCAACCTTTATTCGACAAAAGAAAAAAAAAACATAAAAAAGCAAAACAACGCTCCCCTACAAATTTAGGGACAATGCTAGTGAGACTTCATCACAGACAAATAAAAGACATTTAGGAACAAGTGAATAATTATGTTAGACCTGCTGAAATTGCCATGGAGACCTGAGCATAACTGGAGGTGATGTTGTGACAATTCGATATGCTTTAGCTATGCAGTGTCAGTTATGGCTGACAGTAACAGCACAATTTTATTGGCTGCTTTATTCTGTTCTCTCCAAAGCAGACGCTTCCCCGCTTATACTGGATGAGTTCTCCCTGTTGAGTAGAATCTCAGGATCCTGTGCTTCTATCATTCTTGTACTGTACTGTAATTTATTATCATTCATTTTAACACATTACATTCCCTGAGGGCCAAAAAAAAAAATGCATGTGCCTAACTCACTCAGCATGATGATTTGACTCAATAGGCCAAGATTATTAGGGTTTTACTAAAAGTTAGGCTATATAATTGGAACAAAAATATCTTAATGTTTCATTATTATACTTGCTATAGAAAGTGTCACTTAACATTTTCATGATAAAAAAAAACAGTATAGAATGAAACAGAATTCCTGCCTTTGTTTCCAGCAACCTCTGTTGTTGAATGTGTCTCTCACATTCACAGTCTACAAAATCCTAGGAGGTACCAAGCACCTGGGGAGAGTAGCCACACATCTTTGCGTGTAATGTAGGTGCAACATTCGCTACAACCATATCCATGTAATCTCAGCCTTGACTTCCATGTTCGCAACCCAGGTGTATCTACAATGTGGTATCTGGGGCAAGAGACCAGTTCTCCCCTGTGGCATGTTGGAATCATGCTAGAAACCACAAATCACCTCAGCATATTACTGAAATGAGCTCTGCCCACACACTACCTCCCTGTAGGAAAGTCAACAGAAACTTTTTTTTCCAAGAGAACCAGTTTGCATTGAGACAGCACTCAGAAGCAAGGCTGGTGTAATCAAAGTGTGACTATATTGCAAAATCTGGACTAGGTGCCTCAGCAGACACTCACTGCCTCAGATTAGGCTGCTTTTCTGCCACACATTTTCTAAGAGGGGAGAACAGGCTGGAATCACTGTGCAGTTCCTTCCAGTCGGCCTTGCCCAAGGGTACTGTGAGCTGCACCTGTTTGTTTCAGTGTATCAGGTAGAAGCTGGGCTGGGCTTTGTACTGGGATTTTCCACATGCTACTAAAAAACAGGCAATGGGCTCTGCCAGCAATGAACGGATGCATTTAAAAATCTCCCAAGTAGCCTAGTGTCACCTTTATCAAAGTTGTCAGCAACTTTAAGGGGCACGAAAGTTTTTCCGTAAGAAAGGGGAGTGCTCAATTTTTCTTGCATTGGTTACTTGACAAGAATCTTTGGAGCTCTACCTCTGAGCAGGCTGCCTTGCACCTTCTGGAGGATGGAAGGACACTGCTCGTGCATCCTGATTGCACTGCTGACGGTTACTGAAGAGTTCAAAATAAACCAAAACTAAAAAAAAAAAAAAAAAGGGTTCAGAAGTGGAGGAAATATCACTAAGCTTTTTATTTGAACACTGAGAACATTTCTCTTTATAACTGAATGGGCTTTCTTTAGACACGAGCCAGGCACCAACTGAATCCCAAATAGCTCCTAATCATTTACACTTCATTGTGAAGACCATGATAATGTGCCACCAATTCTGATTTTTGTTTTTATTTATGGTTGGTTACATACTGCTGCTGACTTCTGAGATGAGCACAGGATGATTCATACAATGCTTAACTGGGGACATGCATGTGTCCGGCAAGAAAGGGAAATACAATTGAGAGCAACAGAAACCAAGGGCCTGATGAAGAGACTTCAGCAGCCTGAGAGTGATGGTTTGCAGGTGTTAGCAGGGAGAGCTATTACGTGCAACTTTGGTTGGATGATCGATTTGCTCACTGATCCTTTTGGCTATATGCATGAAAACTGTAACACTATCATCTTGGATATGCTTGTGTGGAAAATGGAGTTGGCAGATTTGGCTAATTCATGTAATACATTGGTGAACTGACATTTCACGCCCAGGCAAGTGTTCACAAGAACTTTTTTTTTTTTTTTTTTTTGCTGTGAGAGTGTGTGTTGGTGGTCATTTCTCAAAACCATACCAAAAACCAGAGAGGAAAACAGAAAGCAGCTTTCTTGGAGAACTCTAGGATTAATGAAAATGAGATAGGGGAAGAAAAGATACAAAATACACCCACATAGAACCAGCCACGAGCTCACTGTTCACTACATTTAACGCTACGCACGGTGAGGTTACATTTTAGTTTTGAAAGCAAATGCTTTGTCAGACACTCAGTTTGGTAACAAATTGGCATCTAAGAAAACTGAATAACTGAATTATAAGAATTTGTTTGACAAGAGCAAGACAATGTGCCTGACAGCTAATTAAGAGGTCATTGCTGCGCGTACAAAGTAGAAAGCTTAGATCCCATTTTTAATCATGTCCTGTTCTAAGAAGCAAAACCCACAAGTCCAATCAAAAGTTGCAGGCTAACATGTAAGATGTGTTAGGAATTTCAAATGACAGGAATGACCTGTATGGCTGTGACCATAAAGTCATCGGGTTTCATCATGCTTAAAATATGCAAATGTGCAACAATTTATTGATTAGAGTATATGTCTATTAAGATTATTTGGATACCTTGTCTGGTTCAAAATCAACTTACATCTTATAGAACAACAAGCTCATTCCTATTTTTTTTATTTTCCCTCTAAGATCTTAGTAACGAACAAACATCTTAGCAAAGAATCATGTTACTTGAAATTAGAAGTGTACCTTAATCACGACATTTTCAAAGACTCTATTATTTTCAAAGAAAGCAACCTAAGATCTTGCAAGCATACTTTGTACTACAGCTGACTTTGATTTGAATTTGCCCACTATTACATCTTCTTTTGAAAAAAAAAACCCTCAAAACCATTTCTCAGGCTTTCATAAGCAAAAGAACCAATTGGCCAGGAGGTTTTGCTGGCCAATCTCAACGTGTGTAACACACGTCGGCGCTTCCTTGCAGGGTGAGCTAAGTTTTCTCTGACGTCAAACACATCTTAGAGCTTTTTCCTATCCTGCCCACATCTTAGATGTCAAAAGACTCACTTCATGCACTCTGCTTGGGATGTTTGCATAAATGACAAAGGCTGTCCCAGGCTGATGAATGTCACTGCTATTTTCGCCTTTCTGCTTGTCACTCAGTAATTGCAGTAAATGCAATTGGAAGTACTTTTATTTGAAGGCCATTTGACAGAGGGGAAGAAAACACATTTACTCTTTCAAGGCCTGTGTGTTTTCTGGGAGAAGCTTGCCTATAAAATTTGTCCTTTTGTCCTTGGGTACTTACTTGGGCGGCACAACGTGGAAGATTCTAGAAGGCAGTTACAATCCACAGCCCACCTGCTGTTCTCCTCCCAGCCTCAATTCCTCACGTCTGGAATGGGGGGGGGGCTGGAAAGTGATCTCACGTCTGTGTGCTCCGTGCCTTCCTTCCCAGAATGAGGTAGACATTTACATGGTTTAGCTAAAATATGGACCTGTTTTCATTTAAGAATTTGAAGGCAGGAGTAGTTTGTTATCTGTTGTTATGTGGAACTAACGCTAATCAAGAAGAGACAGTAATGCGTATTTCTTTTTTTTTTTTACAGGATTCTTGCCTGACCTGTCCCTTTCTCACAGAGGATCACTGGAATTCAAGATCATTCTTCACCTTTATCATGGAGATCAGCCAATCCATCGCAGGTGGCCTGTACAATCCTTCAACGGGATTATTCCTTACAGAAAATTTATATTTAGGCAAAAAAGTGAATGGAAATATAAAATCAATGTTAGCGTTTGCTGAGAGCTCTTTTTTTTTTTGATCCTCCTGGTTTTCTATAAGTCATCCATACCTGAGCCCCAGCCATCAAGTAGGTTGTTCTCACATCTCTACCCACAATTCCGTTTCAATGTTTCTTACCTACGAACAGGTTCCACTCTGTGTCCAGATCAGCCTGGTTGGCCAAGCAGCCCTTCATGACATTGAGGCAGTAGTTGTTACAGGGTCTCACGGAGGGCAGGCCTCGGCAGTAGGGGCAGTACAGCATCTTCATGAGGGCACGGATGCACCCAGGGGTTGGGCTCACCTGTGGATTTTTTGAAAAGATTGAGCAAATCAGAAATTCGAAGGATGAGTGGGAGAGAAATAGAAATCGTTTTCTCCATAAAAGAGAATGGAGGAAAAGCTCTATAAATTTCAAGCAGCAGTGCAAATGACTATAGGGAATATAAAAATCTTAACCCTTTATAATGTTTGATCTGAAACCAATCAATTTCTGGTAAATATTGCCAGCATTATAACATGCAATTTTTCAGAAGTGTCCCGGTCAACATTTTGATTTCTCAGTCACTGTAAGTCGGGTCTAAAACCTAGCCAGCGTTGCACTACAACAGAACATGAAATGAGATAATGCATGTGAAAGCAATTTGCAAAGTTAAAAGCCCATAAAAATGCAGGTGTTATTAAAGTTTCATGTGACACCTTTAGAAAAGTTTCCAACCAGCTATTTGACCCTCTTTGTAAAGGAAGTTGGCAGATATACTTCCTTTGTTCATAACTTTTTTTAAGATCAATATCAACTCGTCCGGGACTCCTGCAATGCAGGCTTGCTCAGAAGGGAAGGGACAGCCCCGGCACCAGGCACCTGCAGCTTTGTGGTAATGCAAAGCTCAGGGCAAGTGGACCCAAAATTGAATGTGAGTAGAAATCTTCACAGTAATCCAGAGGAACAATTTGCTACTTCACAATGAAATGCCATTTTCTTTTTTTTTAAAGATTTATTTTATTTTCATAGGAAAGTCAGATATACAGAGAGGAGCAGAGACAGAGAGGAAGATTTTCCATCTGATGATTCACTCCCCAAGTGACTGCAATAACTAGAGCTGTGTTGATTTGAAATTAGGAGCCTGAAGCCTCCTGCAGGTATCCAACATGGGTGCAGGGTCCCAAGCTTGGTGCTGTCCTCTACTGTTTTCCAAGGATGCAAGCAGGGAGCTGGATAGGAAGTAGGGCTATTGGGATTAGAACGGCGCCCTTATGGGATCCAAGCACATGCAAGGTGAGGGCTTTAGCTGCTAGGCTACCACACCAGGCCCTGAAATGCTATTATCAATGGAGAAGAAAAACAGAGTCCAAATTTCATCCAATCTAAGTCAGTAAGACCTTTTCTAGACTCATTGAAGATGCTGACCTCACTTGGATGGTAAACAGTCATTACAACAGTATGGGCCAATAATAGAAAAAATGCAGACAACTCTGCATTTCCTTGAGCTTTTCCGTGCTGGTGTTAGCCAAAGGACTTTATTTTCTGCCATCTTGCAATTTCTCTCTTAGGTTTTTTCCCAGGCACTCAACTCTATTTTCACTCAAGCTGACCAAGCTATTTTTTCTTTAGATTCTGTTTCTTACATCAGGGTTTGCTGCTTCCTATTTGGTGTCCCCATATGTGATCTGGAGGAATTGTCAATAGTGGAGGCACACATGTGAGATCTGCCAGACAGCAAGAGCCATCTTGTTCACAATTTTGCATCACACAAGCTATTATGACCATGACTTAGATGGTCCTCCTCATATGCTCATTCAAATAAACTACTATTTTCACCACTTTGTAGCCAAGGTGGTATTCAAGGGGAGAAAGAACAAGATGGTTTTATCCATCATAGAATTCAATTGTTGCTTTTTAACTTCTCTGGCAGACTATTGCTTACATGTATATAGAAGCTTTTCCTTTTTTTTTATTGTGTTGAAATCAGTACAATTTTCTCAGCCTGATATTTCAGAAGAGGCTCCATCTCAGGGTAGCAGCCAGCAGAGAAAATTGAACAGCCTTGCTGGTCTCAAAGAGCAACGTTGTTAAGTGTAGGTTCCAGAGTACTTTTGGAAATGACATCCTTCTTGGTTGCATAAAGGGTGTTTGAAGAAGAAAATGGAGCATGGTGAGTCAGTCTTGAAACTTTCCTGTTCAAAACCACATTTTCTGAGTTTATACAACTGCATACTTGAATTAAACTTTTTAAGAAGTCATCATTTCAAACGGAAGACTTTGTTTCTAAAAGCAAGGCTCTTGGAAATGCCAGTTGCATGACGGGATAGTTCTACTTTCAACAGTGTCTTACAATTGCATAACCATGACTGTGGAGAAATCTGTTTCAAAAATTAATAAAGATTCTCAAAGAGATTGAAAAAAATCTTTTCAACAAATCATTTGTGCAAAATCTGATGTCAAGATCCAACAGAATCGGGCCTGGCGCGACAGCATAATGGTTAAGGTCCTCGCTTTGAATGCGCCGGGATCCTGTATGGACGCAGCTCCCTGCTTGTGGCCTGGAAAAGCAGTCGAGGACAGCCCAAAGCTTTGGGACCCTGCACCTGTGAGGGAGACCCAGAAAGAAGTTCCTGACTTCTGGCTTCGGATTTGGCTTCTGTTGTGGCCACTTGGGGAGTGAATCATTAGACAGAAACTCTTCCTCTCTGTCTCTCCTCCTCTCTGTACATCTGCCTTTCCAATAAAATGAATAAATCTTAAAAAAAAGATCCAACAGAATGAATTTTGATCCTCCAGCACACCATGCCAAAAATTAGCTCAGACTGAATCCATGGCCTAAATACAAGAACTTAAATTACAATAAAATCTTTGAAGAAATATATAAATTCTTAGGTAAGGTACCAAAAAGAAAGTTAAGAAGTTGGGCTTTATTAAGTTTTTAAACTTAGAAGATTATGTATCAAATGACACCATCAAGGGAACAAAATGATGACCTAAACAGGAGAAAAAATACTTAAAAGTCGTATGTAAGAATCAAATACCTATAATATATAGAGAACTCCTTCAACTCAATAACAGAGATGCAAACATTCCAATTTTTAAAAGGCAAACAATATGACTAGACATTACTTCAATGAGATACCAATAGGTAACAACCATGACAAAATGCTCAGTCTCATTTGTCATTAAGGAAATGAAAATCAAAATGAGATTCCAACTTCATGCCATGAGACTGTCTCAGTCAAAAAGACAGACACAATCAAATATTGGTGTGGGTGTGCCCCAAACTGAAAGCAATTCAAAAACACCCACTTAGGATGGGATAAAAAAATTTTGCATGTCCTTATGACAAGATACTATCTTACAAAGGAATGCAATTCTGCTATATTGAAAACATGCCAACACATAAACCAGTCATAGAAGATTGTCGGTGCATAGTCCCATTGCCATAAAGGTGGCAGATCAGATGCGTCGCAAACAGAGAACAGGCTTGTGATTTCCAAGGGCTGGGGCAAGGGAGTGTGGAAGATGGATGGGTGCCACAGTTTCTTTTGTCTGATGAAAATACTTTAAAATTTGATTGTATGAGTAGTGGTGGCTGCCAGCATTGTGAATTTACTAAAAACCATTGAAGTTTTTTACTTGACATGGGTGAATTTTAAGTTACATGAATGCCCTCAATAACGTTGTTTAACAAGAGAGCTAAACTACTTACAGATGACATTTTCTGTGAGTGTTCAAGGACTTCTAGAACTGGGGCCATTGTTTAGTCACTAACAAGAATCTGCTCTTTGCCATGTGGTTAAGAAAATAACTTAGTTAAATAGTACTGATACTGAATTACATGTTACCAAATTTGAACTGATACATAGGACATGCTCATTTTCTCTCTAAAAAGTCTCTTATTTGTGTGGTGCTATGGTGTTGCAGGTTATGCCCAACCTGTTCTATAGATATCCCATGTGGACAGGGAGGGATTGGAGTCCTGATTGCTCCACTGATGATTCAGTTTCTACTAATGTGCCTCAGAATGCAGCAGAGTATGGCCCAAACTGTTGGCTCCTGCACTTACATGGGAGAGCCAGAAGTTCTTTTCTTCTAGCTTTGGACTGATCCAGCTCTGGCTGTTGTGGTCATTTGGGCAATGAGCCAGCTTATGAAACAGCCCTTTTCTTCTGCCTCTTACCCTCTTTCTCTCTCTGTATAGCTATGCCTTTCCAATAAGCAAATCAGTTAAACATATGTTTTCTATTACTGCACCTATTGCTGATGGTGATTTGAAAGAAAAAGAATGGTTCTGCATGAACCAGGAAAGTTTTCAGCCTTCCAATTCAGTTTCAATATTTATTAGAATGTGTTTGCTCCTAAAATATCTTCTTCCCAACTTGTACATCGAGAGAAAAAGCAGATAAGACAGGAAGTAATTATGAATTGCTAATCGAGGCCTGAAGGAAAAATGTTCCCCACATGGAGCACAAATTTTCACAATGCTGTTACCACGATGAAAATTCAGCCTATTTTTAAAATTGTAATTTGTTTATTAATTAGAAGCATCTCCTGAAAAGCAGGAGACTTACAAAGTATTTTCAAGCCATGAAATGATCACTAAACACTGGTCTAGGAGAAGGGAATGGGTACCATCTGCATATCTAATAACCATAATTCAGAATTTCCAAAACCTAGTTTAAATAATGCCAAAGGCATGGAATACTTAAAAAGAAAATCAAGAAAATCAAGGAGTGGGGAACTAGGTAATTCTATGTCAGTTGCTGTCAGTCCTGTTATTGCTCACAAATTCATTTTTAAGCAGAATGAGTTTCTATATTTAACTTCATTCCTAAAACATAAGTAAAAGTGCTTTCAAAGTTAGTAAATGCATGATTAGTAACAGCAGTAGGCTGATGTGGCTCAGAAAAACATATAAATTAAACATATAAATGTACATGCATATACAAATAAGAATATATGCTTTTCCAATTAAAATAGAACAGCTCTTCCTGGTAGTCAAATACATGTTTCTAAACCATATACCCAACAGAACACAGCATCATTTTAATTTTACCTTGTTGCACCATAACAAAGTCTTGGATATGTTCCCTTTTATTTGGGCAGTCTGTTTGACATTCCAAATGTTACTCTAATGCAAATTTTCAAAATGTGAACACAGAATATAAAACAAGCTCCCTTAGTGCCTCCTTAGGGAATAGTTGTCTTCTTCAGTTAGAAATTATAACTTAAATATTACTTCATTTAGAAGAAACATTTTAGCAGTGACTTTAAACATGAGTCATTGAAGTGAGAATCCACTTTCGTAAAAGCTC